TAAAAATGAAGAAATTAAAGATCAATATTTTTCCAGCATGCAAATAAAAATAAACATGGAAAAAAATTATTTTCTAACCTGAACAACACCACAGGATGGGAAAACTAGACCACCATTGTCTTTTAGTATCAGAAGCTGTTGGTGTAACATGGTAGCTTGTTCTTTCATATCAATAAGTGCAAATCTACACTTGTTACAATCGATTGTTTTGGCAACTTTTCTAACAACCCATCCAGCAATCCAGTTTGAATATTACACATGAATGAATGTATGCATCAAAGTATGTGTGGTAGATTCATCATGAACCTTGTGAAATAAATACCTTGAACATGTATTTACATATGTGTATCTTCTTATTGACATAAAATAAAAAAACTAAATATTAATTGTAGCACATGCAATCAGTAATATATTAATTATATTATATTTAAACAAACATACTGGTTCATCAGTTGATTTTTTCTCCATCATTATTGGTGATTGCATTTCAGATAGAGTATCTGCTTGATCATTTGATAAAAGCTGAAAATGATAAATATTCAATATACTTGATTATGTGATTTGCAGGAACAAATATCTAATTAATATACTAACTATAATATGTTAGTGTCTTGCAATTAATTAATTAGTGATTCATTTTTCATGATGCACCAATAATTAGTTATTTCTTTATTTTAATGTTAATCTTAATGTTAGTTTAATTTTTTTTAAACTATTTAAATTAGAAATTTTTTATTAGTTACAAAAAGAACAAAACCTTTGGAAATACTGCAGGAACTGATGTTTTTTTAAGCAGCATTTTAGAACCTACATTGTAAAAGCATTCTTGTAAAAAATGCCTGCTGCAGATGAAGATATTTTTTCTACTACATAAATTTGTAATATGATTTTTATATTACCTTCCTACTGTATTCTTTGACTGCCATCTTTTGGTAGTCTGGTTTGGTTTTATTATTGTAAAAAAAGCTTAACTATTTTATGTTAAAATTTTACTATTATTATATTAATTATACATACCTATGTAAAGTTATGCCGATATCTTTATAAGAGCCATGACATTTGGATATTGAGCACATGGGCATGGTTAAACTTAATGTATATAAAATAATTAAACAAATAAGAAAATGACAGACGATGATCGGTTAAAAACTGATTACTTCCTTTAACTTAAATTCACTTTTAAACTATTCTATGCATCAAATTTGTTAGATTTACCTTGATGTTATATATATATATGAAAAATGTATGTATATATAACACTTCTGCCATATTCATATTATATATATCCATAGTATGATCATCAGACAAACTACAGCGTTTATCAGTTAGAATATGTCCAGCAACACTGAAAAGATGCACAACCACTGCAGAGCTAGGTAATGTTGAATTTAGTTTAATGAAACTTCCACATACTTATACTGATGGATAGGAAAATAAACTTTCAAAATTCTTAGATAGGTTAGCCAAGTAACTGTTGAGTTCATCAGCCAACACACCATTAAATCAGTAATACTTGTTTTTAATAATGTCATTTTCGTAAATATCTTCTACCATAGAAGTTCTATGTCACTGTCACCTTCTGTAGTATTTTAAATGCTACCAGAGACAGTACTTTTACAAAATTTGCAGTAAAATTTTTATCGTCGTCTTTCTTTAAAATGCCGTCAATAAAGCACAATTTAATAATTTGAGTATTCATATTAAATAATTAATTATACGCAAATCATCTGCGCCTCGTACACAAAAAAAGCTTAAAAAGAAATGGCGTTGACGCGGAAACTAATAAACAATTTTGAAAATAGGGATGAGCAATTAAAAAGATAAACATCAATTCTAAGGAAAAATATATTCAAATAGTTAAAAAAAAGTTAACTATAATAGTTATTAGCTACTAAAAATAGTTAACTAGTAGTTAGTAATTAATCAAAATAAAATAGTTATTAACTACTTTTAACTACTAGTTAGTAGTTATTAACTACTAGTTAACTATTTGTGGTTAGTAACTACCCATCACTGGGTATTTGTCTGTAAAGTTTTTGTTTGGGGGTTTTTGTCCTGTCACCATAATGAACTATAACTGAAATAAGACTTGCATTTAAATTTGCCATTTTTCTAATCATACCATTCTCAATAAAAATATATTTAATTTACTGACAATGTTGTATGAATATTTTATTCTTGCATGATTATGTAGCTATCAGTAGCGGATCCAGACCATATAATAAGAAAATATAAAGGTTCTGTGTAAAATATAGTAATTGAAAAAAATTATATGTACAAAATTTTGAAAATGTTTCATTCACTGGTGTTTATCAAATGGCAACATAATTTTGTCTCATAATTACAAATTTAAACATAATCGATCAATTCAATCGATCAATTAGCTTGTAAAGCGCTATTCCCGGGTTGTTCAACAGCGCTCCTCAATGAGTTTTGAAAACAAATGGGTCTTGAGATCCGCTCTGAACTTCATAACCGATAAAAAATTAGTCAAAGAAGGTGGTAGAGAGTTCCAGAAAAAAGGGCCAGAAAATGCAAATTAAGCACAAGTGTATTTAACAGGAGTTAAGAAGTGAGAACAAGACGATCGTAAACTGGGGCGTTCAGATTCAATTAATATAGCTGATAAGTACTTAGGAAATAATTTAGATTGAGACTTATACATTAATGTGCAAATTTTAAATATTATTTTATATTTTACAGATACCCAGTGCAAGAAAACAATATATGGAGATATATGAGAAAAAAAAGAGGCATGAGCAACTAGGCGAGCAGCAGAGTTAAAAGCTTTACTTAAAGGGGTAGAGTGTAGAATTAGGATGACAATAGTATAGCTAGTTACAATAATCAATCCTAGATAAGACTAATGAAGTAGCAAAAAGAGTATGATCGTCAAGAATATTGAATAGAATATTGTTATATATGTGTGTAATAATTTATTATTAATTATAATTAAAAATATATATAATAATAATAATTTTATTCTATATATACTTGTATATGTATATATGTTTATAATATAATAATAATATTATCATATTCATAATTTTGTCACTTAGTAATCTTTGGTAATCTTCGCCATTTTAAACCATCGTTAAAAACGTAAAAATCGGAGTAAGTTTTTTGTCTGTTGTATATCAAATTCGCTTTTTTATATTTATTTTTGAATTAAAATATCTTTAAAATAAAAAAATCAAATTTGGAATGTATGTTTTATTTTAATTATTTTCGTAATAAATTCCAAAATTTGAAAACTAATAATTTGGTTTTCAATTTTTTGATATGATTTTGTTTGATTACTATTTTATTTTATTTTATTTTATAAGCATTTACTTTACATTCTTTTACAAATTTAATAAATAATAAAGTTAAATAAAATCTTTTGTCAACAATATACTTTTCTGCCTATTCATGTAATTAAAAGTGAACCTAGATTAGCAATATTTAAAATTAGGTTGTTAAAATCTCATATACTTAGAATAAGAATATTAATATGCATAATGTTGCAAATTGAAATTGAAATAAATAAATTGAGATAGAACAGCATATTTATAATGAAAATGTTTTTTAAAAAGATGGATTCATATTTTTATGCTATAATATACTGAAAATATACTGTGATGAACTTTTTTGCCATTGGTAGGAACAAAATTGCACTTTGCAAAGCAGGTAAGGGTTGGGGTAAGGGTTAATTTAATATACTTTAAATGAACAAAAAGTAGTGATGGTTTGATGTCATAATATCAATTCATTTAGTAGATAACTTATATACTGATTCTCCAAGTGCAATAATTGGTTCTTGAAGAAAGCAATTCAGTTCCCTTTTCATTCTTTCTATTGGTGATTCACGCTGCTGGCCTTCACCTCCCTGCAGCAACTATATCTTTAAATGTTTCCCATAAGGACATCTGTAAACAATCAAAAAAAGCAGATTCAGTTTTTACTAATTAAATAATTAATAAAAAATTAAGTAGGAAGAAAGAGATATACTTAGTTTAATTTATTATATTCTCATGAGTATAAGAACAAAATTTATTTGCATTTAACTTCTAAGTTTTACAGTTTACTTCTCTTTATTAAAGTAAGATTTGAAAAAACTCAAAAAATAGATTTTCTATGTGCTATGCAATATGTTCATTGGTCGATTTAAGGTGTCCATTTTTTAACTTACTTTGTTTGGTCTTTACTTCACTAAACTGTTTTTTACTTGTATCTAAGTTTATTATGAAACGAGGCAAAAGGGAGAACCGGTTATAAAAAATTACATGACAAGATAATACATAATCTGAGAATAGTATGAGGGGAATTGTACTTACCTAAGGTTGACATGGATAAAAATAACAATTATCTAAATAAACATGACTACGATTTCAAGATATGTTTATTAAAAGATTGTTTGTATGCAGTCCATTAAACTATTTATCTTTGAACTGGTGCAGTGCATTAAACAGTCTTTCTTAATTAATAGCTTGTACAACACATCAATGGTAACATGCTTGTTTTGGAATTATTTTGTTTCATCATCATGGTCTTAAACTGGTGATATAAAAAAAAATGTGCCAAAAAGTTATTATATATTATTAGTCTCTGCTGATTGAATCAGTAATATTTTATGTAAAAATAAACTAAACAGCTTCTTTTAATTTTAAAGGATTTTTTAAACCGTTGTTATTGATGTTATTTATATTGCAATAGATTTTATTATTGCTTTTAACTTAATTAATTGTCTTTTTTTATTTTATTGAGTTTAATTTGTATTTTATGTCTCCAGATCCAATACCAACATTAAGATGTTAGAAATAACAGTGAAAACTCTAGATGGAAGAAATCGAACCTTCACAGTGAATAATGATGTAAGAATTTTGTTAATTACACTGTACTCTAGTTGGCTATTGACTAGGTTTATGTAAATATCAAATCATGTTCCAACCTCTCATTAGAACAAATTTACTATAGATTTGGAACATGTGTGAAATTAAATAAGGATAACAAGTCTCTTCAATTTTTGTCTTTTATTTTTGCTTAAATCTCACTATATAACTAAAGCTACTTAAAAAACATTAAACATCGGACAATATAATTGTTTTCCTTAGTAAAATTATTCTGTATTAAGGTATTTAAATATGTTTTTTCTTGCTTCATTGACTGAACCTTCAGGCGTTTGAATAAACCTGTGTTGAATCAGGGCGCAAATGAATTTTGAATCAAATTTTGATATTGTGCTAGAAAGTGATTTAAATTCAAATTCTTTATAATTGTTTAATTGTTACAAATTGAAACAAGGATTGTTTCTTTAACATATAAGGTTTCTGTATCATGCTCGCATGAGCGCCTCTAAGGCAGCATTGGGTCTGGCACTTAATAAATCTATTATTATGATAATTTGTTGTTATTATTATTATTATTGTTGTTGTTGTTGCTGCTGTTGTTGTCATTATAATTATTATTAACGAGAATGATGTATTAATTTGAAAAAATAATTTCAGATTACTGTTAGGCAATTTAAAGAAGAAATTGCAACTTCTATTGTAAGTGCAACAACAAATATTTGTTTTACTCATTTTATTTGATGCTAACTAATTTATTTTGAAAATTCTCCTAGGAAATTGAAGCAAATGTACAAAGGTTAATTTTTCAAGGAAGAGTTTTAGCAGATGAAAAAAAAATTAACGATTATGGTTACTGTTTGTTTGTAGAATTAGTCTTTATATTTTACTCTTATGTAACTGAACTGCATCTATACAATGAATCTGATCAACATTTTATCACGAACATACATCCACGCACAAATATTTGTCCAAATTTCTTCTTAGTATGAAAAAACAACTTTTTAGAGCTTCAACTTATTACAATCCTCTCTTCTTGTTCCTAGCCTTTTTAAATATTTATTTTTGCTTATTGTTGATCTTTGTTAATTATTGTTCTTTGTTCATTACTGATTCTAGGCAATATGGTTAAGTGTGGATTTTTGTTGGTTCTTTTTAGCTTTTTCACAATTACATGTTATAATTACATGTTAATCCATGGCTTATCCATTTGATCAAAGGGTCCAGTTGATTTTTAATGTTTGATTAAGAATCATAACTAAACAACGAAATCATTAAGCTCAGATAAACTTTCAACTAACAACAAAAATAATTTTTAAATAACTTGTTAATGTGTGAATATAGGTTATTTTAAAGTTATAATATATAAATTATGGGTTATTTATTTAAAGACACCGATCTCAACACCGATCATCTTTTTGTTGATTTTTATTTTCCAGATGTAAATGGCAAGACCATTCACGTAGTTTTGAGGCCTCCACCACAAGCCAGACCGCCTCCAGCAACTACATCTACCGAGGAACCAAGAAATGCAAGAACTGTTGATTTTGCTTTTCATAGCGCTGTGAGATATCATTTAAACCTTAACTTTAATTTGAATTGAACTTTTCATTGATGCTTTTTAAAATTGATCACAGCATCATGCCGTACCTTCTGTTGATCTGCACCTGCACATGGGCTCTCCCGATGCAAGTGTACAGAGTGAAGCACAAAATCGAATTGATCAGGCCAAAAAAATGTTAAAGTCAGCTAAAGAAACTCTTGATAAAATAGATGTTGGTTGTTATTGTTTCTTTACACAGTTTAACCATCTTAATTTTTTTAACTTTGGCTTCCTAAATTTTTTTTTCCATGGTAGAATCCCAGTGCTGAGATGGTTGACAACACAGTCGTAAGTACAGTGGTAAGAGAAGAAACAAGCTCGAGTAGAACTACTACCACAAGAACCGTAACCACTACAAACATGGAGACAGGACAAACAACTAATGAGACATCAACAACAACAACATCAACTGGTGTACATCACTCGGAACAGAATCAACAACCGAATCCTCCTGAGGATCCTCCAATTACTTCTCTGGCGGATTTCTTTGATGATGTGCTGCTGTTCAATGACACCTTGAATCTACGCATTGGAAGATTTAGGGATATTCTAAGACAGGATAATGGACTTGTTGATTTGGTGAAGATTTGTTTATTGTTGTACATTGTTAATTGAACCCGAAAAATGGTCTGGTTTTCTAATTTATCTTTTTATCTAAGCGTCAAATTGTTTTTCAAGTGCAGATTTTTGGTTTAATGAAACATGTTGACTTAATTTAATGCTTAAACTGTTACATGGTAGTTAAGCAAACTCTCAAACTATTAATTTTTTTCAATTTTTAATTAGAAAACCTAAACAAAAAATGTTAACTTGTATAATGTCTACACTTTTGCATAGAATTTATCAGTAAATTTAATTTTTCACAGAGAAAAATAGTTTTTTAATAGCTGGTTCTCAATCAACCCTTATCTAATTTATCTCATCCTCATAACACATTAAATTTTTACTTGTAGTCCCCAGCAGAAGCAGCTAGAATGAAACGAACATGTGAGCTGACATCGGAAGCAATTCATTACATGAGTCATGTCTACCACAACATCAGTGACTTGTCTGTTGATATGGAACAGGGAGCACCTCGAAGATTGCATGCTCCGGTACCTCCTCCGAGGCAGGCCACTGCTGTCATTCAGCAAACTATACCTGTCCAAGTTTCTGTACGTTTCATTTATTTAAATTGTATTCTCTTACATATTTTTATCTCTTATATTTTACTATATCTCTTTATATTTTACTATTTTACCTTCTTATGTTTTGAGAATGTTCTAGTGATTAAAGTCACCTGGTTGCTCCTTTGCAATGCGTGCAGTGACTGTATTTGAATATGACAAAAAGGATCCCCGCCTATCACATGTTTTGTGTGTGCTGCGTCGTTTAGCACGTTTTTATACACGATGCTTGTGTGTTGTTGATTCTTTTGAACCCAGGAAGTGTGTAATAGACCTTTAACTCTTTAACCTTTATTTATCTTCTGTTTTATTCATTTTATTTCTATTCTTTAAAATTCATCTTCTGTCAGATGCAGAAAATTTTACAACATGCAAAACATTTTGACGTTTATATCTATTTTCTCATACCTCTTTATATTTTCACGCATTTTATGTCTTTCTTTAATGGTTCTTCTTGGATGTTTAAGGTCATGTTACGTTATTGATATTTAATAATTGTTTTTATTATTAGCCTTTTAACTTAATTAAGTAATTTTTAAATAAAAAAATTAATTTCAAAGGCACAATTTAGTCTCTCTCCAATTATGAGGGAATCAGAAACGTCGCCTGCTATGTCAATGACGACATCCACCACAACAACTACTACAACTACACTTGCAGGTGCTAGACCAACTACAACATCAACAACAACTTCTACGACTAATTTTCCACCTGGAGTTTGTCAATTCCTTTAATTACTTACTCGAATTGTTTTTTTTATATAGCTTTAAAAAGGCCTTTTATAAAAATGTTTGAATTTCCAATTTTATGTGGTGAATAGATTTTGCAATGCTTTTTCTTAATAATGTTCAGTATTTGCTCAATTTGTTATTGGATATATTAAGCAATTATATTTAGGAGTATGCATACTGCTGTTAATTTGTAATAGTACTAATTGAGTACTTTTAATCGAGTACAAAAAGTAATAGGTACTCACATATCTGTTTTAAAAGGTAATCACTTACCAGTTAGGATACTTTTTCGAAAACGGGTAATCGAAAACATGTTTTGAGTAATTAACTTAAATATGGGTAATTTTTAAGAGAAATTGATAGTTCACTACATTTTCACAAAAAATTGACACAAAAAGTTTTGGGATAAGCATAAAAAGTCTCCAAGGTTTTACTGGGAACAATAACTGTCGTTAACATTCTTCTTAGTAAGAAATTGGGTAGAAATGAACAGAATAAAATTATTTTATTTGATTATTTTTGAAATGTGGTGAAAACATTAGTTTACTAAAAAGTAACCAAACTCCACACCACTAATTTGTAATGACGTCTTACAAGTTTGAATTAAAATTAAAAAAACTGTTCTATTAATTCTGAATGATTAAAATTAAATGTTCGAAATTAGGACTAATTGTGCAGATTGGGACGCATTTTATTTTTAATTACTTCAATATTTTACTCTTTAAGATCTTCCCACCTGGCATCCCTCAAATTCACTTTGCTATGTCGTCAAATGATGGCGGTTCTATGGCAAGAAGTCAAGCTATGGGGAATCCCATTCCCGGGGGCCACATGTTCGGTATTCCCATACAACCTGGTCAAATGTTTCCAATGATGAATGGCGGATTAATGAATTTTTCTAGTCAGACACCTGGGACTACCACATCATCCAGCACTGCCACAACAACTCATCAATCAAGTGGACCTACATCACCAAGAAGAAATGTTGATAACCCTACACTGATATCTTTGCCGGCAAATTTTCCTCAGCTGGACTTCAATGGCGATCATCCTCCATTTTTGAATGAGAATTTTCTTCAAAACATCATACAGGTAGCTACGAATGCAATGCAGGATGCCTCTCCCAACGCAGGCCACCAAGGTGCTTGTTCATTCATAATATTTTCTTGTTTGTATGTTTTCATCTTGAAAATCGCATGTTTGGAAACGTAGATGGTAACGAAAATATCAGTTTATATTTTTTATTATGTTCTAAATAATTTAATAATTTAAATTGCTTGATCTTAACAATATTTACAGTTGTTCAAAATGATGATGTGAATGAACATTTGAATAGCAATGATTAAGAGCAACAAGTTTCAAATTGTTAGCACATTAAACTTTGCTGATGGCTGCTCTGTTTGCATTGGTAGCATTCTTGTGTGCTTTGAAATTTTTTGAAATTGCTTTTAATAATTGGTATGTTTTGATGGAGGACGAAGAATTCAAATTGTGCAGTTGAATGCAATAAGTTGTAGTTTAGCACCAATTGTAAAAAAATTCCGAAAGAGTTGCTTATATTTTTTAAAAACCTCCTAATTAATTACTGAAGCAAGTGCTGAGTGGAAGGCCAAAAAAGTCCTCATCAAGGACAAGGGCACTTATTATTTGAGAGGCTTGTGAGGAAAAGAACGGTTTTGCAGGTTTAAAAATCATTTCAATCTAATTTGCAGCATTGTCTCCGTCAAAAGATATTTCAAAGTATGTTAAATATTTGAAGTTTGACAAAATTTCATTATGTGCAGCGATCACAGTAAGCAAAAAAGTTTGGGGTATCATTTAACCTAGAAGAAAAAATTCAGTAATTTCATCTATCCATTTCTTTGCAGGTCTACCAACTTTTTCCTTCCAATCTCTTTTCCTCATTAGTCTGTCTTCCCTCATTCTACAAATGTTTCCAAAAATCCCAATTTTCTTTTTCTGACTTTGTCATATACACTTTTCTGTCTTCCAAGTTGATTTCTGATGGTTTTGTTCTTTACATTCTGCCTCCAACTGATTCCCAACACTTTATCCAAAAAAATTCACAGCAGTACCTATAATGTGCCGGTTGAATGAATGCTGCCATATGCACAGTTAAATAGAGGCAATCATTTTATTTCTTACAGACCTTATCTGCATGATGAATGTGGTTAACAACAGTTTCAATAAATTTTCATAATGAACTTGGATAATAGTTCTATTTTTAGCAAATTTAACAATTTCCAGAAAATTTTAGCAAGGAAAATTGAAAATACAAACTTTAAATTGATTAATGCCAACAATTTGGTAGAATTTATACAATACTGTATATATATATATATATATATATATTTATATATATACATATATATACATATATATGTATATATATGTATGTATGTTTAAACCAAATCATTGACGAATGACACCAAAAGCCAAGCGTCTGACTAAATTTGATTTTATTTGCTATAATGTCACTCAACCACGTTGGCATTCAACTGCACATTTTCCAACACACAGACGCGCAAAAACCGCTGCAGAATGCACGAAATATTATTCATAGCGAAAAAATACTCCCTACTATCGCCTGACCTAATACTAATATGTTTACAAATCTGATTGAAAAACTTGGAGGTGTTACAGTTCATGGGGCCGAGGACCTCGATACAAATCGGTAAAAACTCCATCGAGGGAATAGCTCCGTCATACTTCTTGATCTTTTCATCAGATGCCCTGGTTGCAGCCAAACCGCTTTCTTTGCTAGTAAGCTGCACGCCGGCTCTCCAAGGAATCAAGGTACACTCGTCAGGGCGCTTACCATCATGCGCCGCAATGCCCGACGGTTCCTTTAAAACCGGAATTGAAGCCTTGGAGAAAAGCCGGCACTCAAAATTTTTTATGGCTGAATGTCGCTGCTGGCGACCTCCGCCCAAACGACAAACAAGACCATGATGGCCGAGTTCATCCGCGCCGCACCTGCATGTGTATCGACTCTGAACGACCAACCCCAGACGGAAGCCAATGGCTGTCCTGACCGTTTCGTCATCCAATCTGGTACCCACCGACGTATTGGGCAAAGATCTCAGCCAGCCACAACTCGCCTCGCTGGATACTGCCAGCAAGCGAGCCGAGGTCGCCGAGTCAGGGCTTGAGCAAAGCAACTCTTTGAATGTGCGTTTATATGCTTCCTCCAAAATGTTGCCCTGGGAAAATGTATGTATGTATGTATGCTGGATGGTAAAAGACCATAATTAATGCAGTAATTTATGGAATCTACCGAATTTCTAGCATTGGGTAGTTTTTTATTACCTTTCTCAACGTTTCTAACCAAATTCTTGTCATCATTATTTATTTTATTAAGGTTAAAATAATATACAGTTTTCCAATTCATTCTCGAGTGTATAGGACCTATTTCGATTTTTCAATCATCTTTAGCACTTGTTGCAGTTTATATAGATAATTTGTATAACCCAGTACTTGTTGCAGTTTATGGTTAGCAAGAACAAATGCCTTGGTTAAACAAATTCCATATATATATATATATATATATATATATATATATATATATATATATTTATGTATATATGTGTGCGTGCGTGCGTGTGTAATGTTCTTAACTTGTTATTTTAGTGCTCTTATGTTTTGCTTTTAATATTTAATCAACAATTAATTTTTCCAGTTTTCATGATGGGTCCCCAGTCTTTTCTACCTGTCAGCTCAGGAGCATCTAGTTCAACTCATTCAGTAACTTCTTCAACAGTCCCTTTGAGAACTACTGCTGCAACTACAGCAGGAACTCAGAGGTCAACATCCGCTCCTCGGGCTGCCAGCCATAATCGAACTACATCAAATGCATCGAGAGTTGCACGGGAACTACAGAATAATTTACTTCCAGCTTTGTTTGCACCTCCCACAGATCCTTATCTTCCTTGTCATTCGAGACATTTTGCATCACGTTGGCCTCAGCAACAACAACCACAGCAACAACAACAATCACAGCAACCACAACAACAGCGTCAACCTGATACTCAAGCAACCCCCATTGTGGTTAATAAAGCAAAATATTTTTTAGTTTTGTTATTAAATTGATGGTGTGTGTAAAAACTGGTTGCGGTGTTCCATTGATTAGAGACTAACCGTTGAATGCTTTTTAATTGAAGGAGAAAAATGTGAGTGAAGGAAAGAAATTGTGTAATCAAAAGTGTAAAGCAGCTTGCTAACACATGCAATAAGTGTGGTGGTAAAAATGTTATTTCAACTTTTATTGATAATAATATAATTGAGAATGCACAAAAAGTAAATTTAGTATGAAAAGACAGTGTTGTGAGTTTAATGATTTGGTTAAAAATAGTAAAGATAAATTAGAATCTCAAAATTTCATCTTATTGAAGCACAAAAAAGATGCAATTATATTATACAAAACGACATTGATGATGCTGAGTTAAAATCAGTTGTAGGTTCTTGAGCGTCTATTGAAACAGAAAGTACTGCATTAAAATTATCCTTTGGAAAAAAAGATCATGTTGGTAATGTGTCAAAGTGTCAAAATGTTCTGCAGCTGATGTTGTCATTCACCTCCAGTTGATAAACCTTGGTGTTATTTTGTGTTACACTATGTTCAATGAAGATAAAAAGGAAAAGTCTTATGATTCACTGCCATCTACCTCCATCTAATTTCGTGTTAGATTAGATTGAATTGCTAAAAGAAGTTCCTGGCATGAAAATGTGCGTATCAAATAGTGGTTATTCAACAGCCGTACCAATAAAATTTATAAAAACATCGTTGAATTTTTTATTTGTGTTTTATTTGGCAAGGGGCTATGCCTGTGCTATTTAAACAAATATATGAGATGAAGATAGATGAGAATGTTTATGTCCAATGTATTGTGTGGAAAATCAAATTGGTAACATTAATTTATATTAATTATCTATATACCAGATTATCTTTACAAACGTTTTCAGATTGATAGTTGTTTTAAACATTTATAAATTTTTTTTTTCTATTTTACAAGCTGATAATTTGAATGAATGATGTTACAGGTTTTAAACCTTTTTATTGGGACCTAATGATACTCTTGCATATTTAGTTGTATTGCTGGAAGTTTTTCTCAGAAATTGGCTCTAACTGACATTTATTGCAACAACTGTTTAACATTTGTTATTAGCTGGGGTCGTTCGTACAAATATTGGATTTTAATAATGACATTTGTTGAACGCAACCTGGTTATATAAAGTTATTTCAATCTTTCTTAGTATTGAATAAATTGATTTTTTAAATCAGAGTGTAGAAGAGACACTGACAGGTCTAGTGACCAACCTCATTTCGTCATTGAACCCTAACAGAGGTTCCTTAGTTTATACCAACTTTTTATGTGGTTTAGTAATTTGTTTAAACAGTTGTTTCGTTTCACTGACGTTCAATTAAAATTTTATTTTTTTAATATCAATGCCTAAGAAATTTTTTAATTTGAAATGACGTGCTGAATGTTTGGGAGAGGAAGAGCATATTAAATTGTTATAAACAAAAAAGACACATATTGTGATGTGATGAAATGAGGATATTTCATGGCTAGTTGTGAAGATATTTGAGAAGTTAATTTGCTATCTAGCGGTGTATGTTTTTTGAGGATCATGTTTGGCTACTTGATTTTGTATTGACTCATGGTTTAGTTTTGCAGATGTTTCAAATGTTATCGCCGATATCGTGAAAAATAAATAGGCATGGCATTGTTTTTACCAGATAGTTGCTTGTTATTATTATTAAACAGTTGACACTTGCCTGGCAAATATCCTCATTTCAGTGTTGTGTATGATTTCATTCTGAATTATTATTAGTAAAGATACATCACTTGAGAACGTTCTGCAGAAATATTTACCCGAATCGTGTACTATTTTTATTATTATTTTTGGTTAAATTATTTTATTTTTAGGAAGCCATGCCTCAACTGCAACGGCTGCCACCATTTTGAACAGCACTCAAGGCCAGCAGGAACGTGAGCAGTTGGAATCTCAGGTATCTTGCTTGTCACAATAACTTGCTTGCAGTGATTTAAAGCACCTGATTTTGTGTGCATTATAATCAAGGATAATAAAGTTACTAGAATGATAGGTCCCAACAAATTCATATTTTCTTAAGCATTACAAGTTGCTTATAACGTTATAGTTTCAGTGGTATCGCCGATTCTTTGAATTTAAATTTTTATTTGTCTTCAGATAGCATATTATGTAATGATATTTCATTTTTAGATTTTTGGATATTATCGCCCATATTACAACAAATCCTAGCTTCTCTTTTGTATCATGTGTCAATCTTCTTCACAACTGTTTCAAAACTTCTCAGTGTGTTGCATGTTATTTTTTCTTGGATTTATTTTGGAAACATAGAAATTTTATTTTACTTCAACATGTCATTTGAAATTTTTTAGATAATTTTACTTCTTTTTTTAAAATAGATTTCTGGATTCGGATTTCATTAAATATATAATTTTTACAATTTTTTTAAAATTTGTTCTTTTCAAGTTCTCTATGTTGGTTCAGTATCATTGTAAGTGGTTTGTTGATTGTCCAACTATCAATGATATTTTTGAATCAACATGTTAGGACTCGTCCAGGGCAAGTTCTCAGCAGCAAGAACAGCAACAGATTGCTCATTCCCGTCTTACTTCATTACTTCAAGGAACTCTAGATAGCTCTTTCAATCATAATGATGAATCAATTGCAGATTTCTTCAGATCATTGGGTCAAGATTTCAATATCGAAGAAGAAGGTAATTTATTTATTTTCCTTGTTTAATATTCACTTTTGAAGCATTGAATTTTATTTTATTATGTTTTTTTTACTCTCGTTGAAAATAATTTTTATAACTTCGTTATCACAAAATTTATCAATAAAAAAGTAATAACGCTTAAATTTAATTGAAAATAAATGTAAACTTTTTAGCCAACTTGCTTATGTATTTTGTCTGCTCGAGGCTTATAGTTATGAATCTTTTAAAATTATGCTATTTATATTATTTATTGTCAGGATTGTTTTCTGACCTGTTTGCGATCTTGACTCGTCAGCTGACCATATCCGATTTCATTGTAATATTCCTTGGTAACCATCAGCCAATTAGAAAATTGTACAGCCCACTGAAATCTTTTGTGAGAGATAAGATCTTGGAGGGAAAAGAGGGAAGCGAGGAAAACATTAGAGCAGCTGTTGAAGGCATCCTCAATAATTTTCACGATGACATCACAGAAATGGCTGTTGGTGCATTTTTATTGTATATTTTTTACCATTTTCATTATCATTTCTTTTCTCTCCTTTTGGATCTTTTAAAATTTGTTATAAATACACTTTTTCATGCTCAAAATCTCATTTATAACTTAAAAATATTGAAATTATTTTTAAATTTGATCATGGCGTTTGGTCTGTAATTCATATCTTTAATTATATTGATCATGGGAAAAAGTTCCAATTTATAATACAGGGAATAGTTGTGGCAAGAGATGACATTGACTTTGCAGCATCCACCAGAAGTTACC